CTTGGTTCCTGCCTGGCCATTGAGGTCATTTGGGAAGTGAACCAGAGAATGACAGATCTCTCTCTCTTCTCTCTTTCTGTCTCTGTTTCTCCCTCTCTCTTCAACTCTGCCTTTCAAATAAAAATGAATCTTAAAAAAAAAGTCATTTGGAACATCCGTGTTGTGCATCAGCGTGCTTGGGTCCATGTCCTGGCTCCGCTTCTGCTCCCAGCTTCCTGCTACTGCGCACTGAGGGAGGCAATGGGATGGCTAAAGTGCCTGGGTCCCCACCACCCGTGGAGGAGACCCAGATCGAGTTTTCAGCTCCTAGCTTCTGCTAGGCTGAGCTGCAGCTGCTGCAGGCATTTGAGGAGTGAGTCAGCAGATGGAAGACTCTCTCTTTCAAATAAATGAAAATAAATTAAAAAAAAAAATAACTAAGTACCCATCTTTGCCAGGTATTCATTTGTTTCAGCCAGGCTCCAGGGGGCCAGCGATGACTGGGTGACTCTCAACTCTCAGGGGAGCCCAAGAGACGACAGGGAAGGGCGCCTCTTCCAGGAAGGCCCCCCCGGTGGGAAAGGGGACCCCACAGGCACAGCTTAGTGTCCAGGTTCACCACGTGCCTATTGTGTGAGAGGTGAGGGGAGGCACACACACTAGGGGGAGGCTACACACCTTTGACCCCCAGCCTGAGGTCTCTCAGAGTCTAGGGACCATTCGGCCACCTGGCCCTTCCCAGGAATACGGGAGGGCATGCAAGGGGCCACCCCTGGGCAGCGGGACTGCTGGCGTCCACTTGGCTGAGTCCTAGGGACAGGGGTCTCCTCCTGGGTGCTAACGCTGTGGCTGTGAGGGTTAGATAAGGTTATAAAACGCTGGGTGCAATGCTTGGCACGGACTCCATTTGCAGAGCAAGCTGGCTGTTATGGTTATTAAACATACCCCTCTCTCCCTCAGACGGTCCCCTGTCTCAATGTCCCCCTCTGTGGGGACTGAGCACCTCTTTGCTCCCTGCTGGCCACCACCATTCTTCTCCACGCTTCCCCCAACTCCAGTCCCCTTCAGCCTTCACCTGGGCTCCTCAGGGAGCACTCACGGGAGCACGGAAGCAGGGAGCTGGCGTTCAAAGGCGAGAAAGAGACTTCCCCTCCTGGCCCCTCAACTCCGCCCCTTCTCACTCCCCCCCCACCAGGAAAACACCCCTACTCATTATGGAGCCCCAGCAGCCAGGCCCAGGCTAAAGCCCGGCTAAAGGCAGCAATTAGATCGTTAGCACCAGCCCCAACCCACCTGCTCGGAGCCCCACAAACACGTTTTAATTATAATCCCTTAATCTCCCTCAGACGGCGCGGCTGGCTCTAGGGCTTTTGCCCTGCACAGCCCCTTCCCCCCCATCTTCCCCCAATTAAGGGGTCTTCTCTGCAGAGAGGCCCCCTCCCAGATCAACGCCTCTCAGCCTGGGAGGAGCAAGACCCTGTGCTCGCCCTTGTTGTCTGTGGGGAGTGGTCCAGGTGGCCATGCTGGTCCACCTGGAAGTCCCTCCCTCGGTGGAGCTGTGATTGCTCCCACAGGCTGTGTGTGTCCAGGCCTCAGGGTGTCGGTGGGCTCCTTGGCCCCTGCGCCGGGCTGCCCCCACCCCACCCCCGCCTAGCCACTTGCCCTGGTTTCCCCATGTTCTCTGGGAAGCATCATTGCCAAACCCTTCCATGGTGACTCCTATTTTCCTACCAAGGCAGCGGGCCACCCTGTCTGGGCCAGCTGCTGCCGTGGCGTCTCCTTCCAAGGGCCCCCGTGGAGTGCATGTCCCCTGGAGGCAGCCCCGGCTTCCCCTCCAGCCACCCTCAGCAGAGCCGGGGCTTACCCTCCCACCTCTCTCGGGCCCATTCAGGACCCTGGCACCCTCAGCCACATAGGGGCTGGCAGAACCGTGGGTCGGCCTCTCTCCCTGGAGCTGGGAGCAGGGCAGAGGCAGGGGGAGGGACAAGATGACCCAGCATGTGGCCCTGTCTGAAGCTGAGGCTAGATGAAGCTCTTTCCTGGGAAAGTTCTGTCACTAATTGACTTGCAAATGCCTTGTTTGTCCCTAGATTCATAATTAGTGCTAAGGATTTCTAGGGCCCCATCTTGGAGGGCCTTTTTTTGGGGGGGTGGGGGGACAGCCTGTTCCTCTCCCCTGTCTGAGGTCGGCGGGACTGGGGGTGGGCAGAGCCGGGCACCGGTGCCCAGCTGCCGTCCAGCGTTCCCACGGCTCGGATGCCAGCGTGTGAAAGGCGAGGTGCGGGGGGCGCCTGCCATCCTGCAGCCGGGACCACGGCCAAAGCCCTGAGGCTCCAGGAAACAGGAGCGGGCTATGGCAGTGGGTGGGGGGCCGGCTGGCACCCCCAGGAAGGAGAGCCCAGCCGGTGCCGGGGGCTGGCATCGTCCAAGCCTCCGGCAAGATGAATGGGCCAACAAGGGGCCTCTCTTCCCCACGGCCTCCCCACAAAGGCCTTGGCTGCGCTGTTGGATGTGGGGAGCCGGGGGCACCGGAGGAAGAGCAGAGGCGATTCTCAAAGACACCGCCTGCCCCCGCCTCTGTGCTCCTAACGAGGGGCCGGGTTTGGACTGCCAGTTGATGCCGGGTGGGGTGCAACTTTCCCAGTAGCCTGGACCTTAGTTTCCCTGCTGCATTGTCCCAGACATCCTTCCCAGCCCTGATGTCCCCCTGCCTGGTTTCTGCCCCACCCCAGCTACCCCACAAGACACTCAGCAGAGACTCAGCCCTCCGCAGGGTGTATGGGCCCTGCCCTGTCAGGTCAGGAAGGGCTGCTCCAGTGCAGGGAGGAGTGGGAGGGCTCCAGACATGGCCGCCTGCCATGAGGCCGTGCCCCTTGCAGACAGTGGCCTGGGTGAGTCTCATGGGCGTCACCAGGTCTTGAGGGACTGGTGGAAGGCACTCTAGCTTGGGGCTAGGAAGCTAGGCTTAGCTGAGTTTCCTTTCCCGCCCTCCTCTCCAAGCTCCTGGTCAGTATGCCTGTGGTTTCCCCCAGTGGGTGAGTTCTTTCACTGGTCCATCCCAGCAGCCCCTATATCATCTCCGGTTTCTTTCCTAGAATGGGTCACTTTGCTTCCTGAAGTCTTCCGTTCCCTTGCAGGTTGTCCTTCTCCAGGTCTGGCCTCTTCCCAGGCTGCCCTGCAGCTGGAGCCCTCCAGCAAAGGGAGGGGGAGGTGGGTTCTATGGTAACCCTGAGAAGAGAATGCCCTCTCTCCTCATCTGCATACAGACGGGCTCATTTGCATACAGACAGCCTCATCTGCATGTGCTCTTTGGGACTCTGTGGGCACACACATTCCAAAGTGTCCCGCCTGGGCCCTCCCATCTCAGCCCCGGCATCCATGTTGAGGGAGGGGCCGTCCCTGCCCCTCAGGCCGCTGTCTGGGTCCCGGGTCTCTCAGTTTCCAAAGGCAGCCCCCCACGGGGGCACTTCTGCTGTTGCCACGCACGCCTTCCCTTCTCCACCTCCTCCTGCCTGCTCCCGCACTTTCACCCCAGGCAGAAGCTGCTGCCCAAGCAGAAGCTGCTCACGGAGGCAGCCGATCGGCCCCAGTGACCGCCCCTGCTAAAGGATGAAGGGGCCATGAAGACTGACGCTCGGCCTAGGGGTCCGAACGAAAGCAGAGGAGAGGGTGCACAGCCCAGGGAGCTGCTTCTTGGCTGCCTGACCCCAAGGCAGACCCTCCCTCCATCCCCTCCCCACCTCCCCAGGGACCCAGTCCATGACCACAGTGGACCGGGAGCTCGGGAGGCACTCCTCTGGCTGCTGGGCCTGGGCTCAGCCCCGTGTGTATGCCAACTGGGATGCAAACAGCGGCCTCCTGCAGCAGTGCCCTGGGCCTGAGCGCCTCGGCCTTGGGGGAGACTCTGGGCCTCCTGGGCACGCAGTCCGTGCGCGCTGGATGCTTCTGATGTGCCTCCACCCCGCTGAGGACCCTGGGCACAGCCCTCCTCGCCTCTGGCCTCGGGGTCTTCTGCAAACTGAGGCACTGGGCCAGACCAGCTGGCTGTCCATGTGAGCCTTCTTCCTGGAAACCGCTCAGCCGCCTGGCTGGCACCCCCCATGCAGTTGCTACCCGGGGGGCCACCTTGATCTCAGGCTGGGGGTCCTGGTCTGGAGCAGCTGCCACTGCTGTGGTCAGGTTGCAATGGAAGGGGCAGGGGACCATGTGCTTGGCTGCCCACGGAGTGGCCCTGCGAGGGGAGGCCCCATAGGGAGCTTCTTTCCCCTTGGTGGTGGTAGAATTGTGCTGTGTGTTTCACTGTAAGTTTATGGCGAACAGTTCTGCTCCTGGAGGGGCTGTGGTGACTGCCTACAAGGTACTGGTGCATGGTTCCTCCAACCCTCTCCAGAGGGGTCTTCTCCTGGGTGAGTGTGCATTTCCAGGCCAGATGCCATAGGGAGGAGATGGGGTCCCAGGTGCTGGCTGCAGCCTCCCTGGCTCCCTGGTCCCTCTCAGGTGCTGTTATTGCTGGGAAGTTCTACCTGTAGTCTAACCAGAATCCCTCTTGCTAGTGGTTTTCATTCCCTTCTCTTTCCACTTAGTGGTCAGAGAGGAGGCCGCGGTGCTCCCTGTCTGGGGTCTGCTCAAACCCAGGAAAACTCTTATGAGGCAGGGTCGTCTTGTGGAGGGGACACAGCTCCCACAAAGGCCCTGGGGTGGACGAATGCCACTTTGTCCCATTCTCTTGGTGCTTGGGACGGTCCCCCGGCTCTCCCTGGGCTGGGCGCCTCCGCTCTGAGTTGGAGCTGACCAGATCGTGGAGGGGGTTTCTCAGGAGCTGGGGGACAACTGAGAGGTGGAAGAGCCAGACTGTCCACACCCCAGCCCCCACACTGGGAGGGGCTCCGGCTTTGGTGAGGCTCCGCCTCCTGTTGCAGCACAGGTTTCCGTACCGGGAGCCCAGCAGCGACCCCTCTCATTCCATCCCTCCTTCCGCTCCCACCCAGCCCAGGCACGTCCACTACCATTGTCACTGTCACTCAGCGATCAAGAGTCTTTATTAGACACAAGACAGGGCTTCCAGCTCAGGGTGAGGACAAAGCAGGGTGGGCAGGGGTAGGCAGCCAGTGGACATGGGAGCCGCGGGATAAGCCAGGTCTTATCCTGCAGGGCTGCAGGCACCATGGGCTGCCCGGCTGGGGCCGGGGTGGGGGGTGTGCGAGGACCAGGCAGGTGCAGATTGCTAGGGCTTCAGCTCATTTCTCCGAGGGGGAGCCTAAGGCAGCTGGGTGAAGCAGGTCCTCCTTTTTGGGCTGAAAAGAAGAGGAGTGAAAAACAAGAGGCAGAGGACGAACTCCCAGCAGCCGTGGGAGGGTCTCCCTTCCATCAGGAAAGGGGGCCACTGCAATAGTGACCTGTCTAGGTGTCTTCCAGGAGCTCTTTCTGGGACAATGGGGCGGGGGATGCGCAGGGCAGGAACTCGGATCCCAAGCACGTGAGAGAGATGGGGAGGGAGGGAGCTCAGGGAAGGTGCTTCCGGGAGGCAGGGAGCACACATCTCCACAGCTAGAGACCAACCTGGTACACTGTGGGTGACTTCCGCAGCCCCGGGACCGCCTCCCCAGTCCTGTCTTCAACCTGCAAGAGCAGATGCAGTAGCCCTCAGCCTGCACCCCTGCACCTGAGAACAAGGCAAGAATGCCACCCGCCTATCAGGTCGTCTCTCAGTGCCTCTAATGTCTCAGGACGCATTCTGCAGGGAGGCCAGCACTGCGCATGCTCTGGGGCTCCACTCAAACCCCAAGCCAGCGGCCTGGTCCCGCAGGGCAGGTGAAGCAACACAAACTTCGCTCCCGCTTTGCAAAGCAGGCAAGGATCACCCAGCCTTCAGGACTGATCAGCAGACATAAGGGCCGAGGAGGGGCGTGCACGGCCACACGGGTGTGCAGTCAAAGCCGGCTCATCCCCCCCCACCCGCCCCCGAGGTTGGGGAGTGCAGGAGGCTGCGCCCAGCGAAGGCAGAGACAGCGTGGGCCGCGGAGGGATCAATGTCATAAGCGCAGCGGCAGGCATAGTGCTCCTCACCCGGCCTGTGCAGACTTGGGGGACAGCAGCGTAGGAGGCCCCCAAAGGTCACTTCACACAACTTCTCCAAGAGCCTTCAAGTCTGAGAAGAGAATTCCAGAAAGGGAGAGGGGGAGGTTTCTCAGCCACACCCCTGCCTGCCCAGCCCCACTCACTCCTCTGCCTACTTTTGCCTTTGCCACATCCCTAACCTTGACCTTGACAGTATGGCGGGGAGGGAATGAGAGGTCTGCCTCGCCTGTCTCCTGCAGGCCAGGGCTCCTCAAGTGTCCCTGTGTTCCTGACTCCCCAGAGCCCTCTTCCCAGCCTGGGCAGGCTCCTGTCCTCAGGGTCCCCCACCCCCACCCGCTGCCCTCAGTGCCCTCGCCGGCCACACATTCCCATTCCTTGCTGCAGCTCCTCAGCCTGCCTGGGAGCCCCACTGCCCCACGCTGGGTAGATTCGGGGGAGCCGCAGGGATGGGAGTCTGTCGGGGTCTGGGAAGGGGTGGTGGACGCAGCTCAGCGCAGAGCCCTCCCCGGGTTGGAGGTGGTGGTAGGGAGTCCAGATGGACAGTCCCCGGCCCGCTACACCCTCCCAGGCCCAGCCGGCCAGGATCTCCTAGCAACCGTACAGTAGCAGGGGGCTGGGAAGAGGGTGGGGAACAATGATGTCATAAATTACCCCGAGCCCGCCCTTCCTGGCGGGCCCTCCTCAGTGGAGAATGGCCGCCTTTCTCTGCCCACCTGCTCCTCATTCAGGATTCCCCTCGCAAAGCTGGCCCCTCTTCAGCGCCCCTTGGAGACGTTGCGCTAGGTCAAGGTGACCATTCTCTGGTTGGGCTCCCGAAGGAGGCGACACTCGCCATCCCAGGATCCCTCGGAGACCCCGCTGGACCCTCCCCGATGGTGGGAGGGGCCAGCTGGCTCCCAGGTCCCCCACGGAACTGGGAGGTCTCTGGCTGCTGCCTCTTTTTTGGGGTGCTGATGGGGGCAGGGAGAGGCGACTCCAAGCACGTTCTGGCACTGGCACCTCCAGACAAAAGGTTTGAGTGAAGGCCTCCGAGTCTCTACGGGGCACCGGACTCTCACCGAGCCAGCCAAGTCTCAGCTTCCCTGTCCCCACCGCTGGCGTCCGGGAGCCTCCATAAAGTGACCGAAGCGGGCAGGCCCCTCCTTACCTCTCAAGGCAGCCACGTCAAACCAGGGGTCAGTGACCTGGTGGTGCTTGCAGCTGGACAGATCTGGGTGAGCCATTGGGAAGGACTTCCCAAACCGAAGAAAACAAGATCAGGAAATTCCCTGGTGGGAGGGAGGAGAGCTGTGAGGTCCCTCCTAGCCACAGTGACGGAGCAGGTGCTTGGCCTGGAGCCAATGCACGGTAAGGTTCTATTCGGCCATTTTCACAAACAACACATTCACGTGAATCTTTACAGGCTAGAGAAAGGCACACAGCCCCGGAGACGTCCTTCCTATCCCCCAGCAACCCCATGGGAAACTCCAGGGATGAGGCAGTGCCCGGGGAACAAGATGGCAGCCAATCGTCATGGCAACAGCAGAGGGAGGCTGCTTGGGTGTGGGGGCGGCGCTGGGCAGCCAGCTGGTGCCAGATGGACGGGCCCAGCAGAAGGCAGCGCAGCCGGGTGAAGCCCGTGCCCTGTGCCCAGGGCTCTCCTTCCATATGCCAGCTTCAACCTGGCCTTTCCCGCCAGGCCTCAAGGCCCCATCGCTCTCTGCGGGGGCTGATGCCAAACTGCCCCCCTCCCGCCTCGGGCTCGTCCAACAAGGAAGCAGTGCTTAGAGACAAAAGAGCATCCTGCTTGGCCTCCCTCTGGCCTGGGGGGACGAGGGATCCGCGTTGAGCTCACTCCTGGCAGCACCAGGAGCTTGGGAGGGCCCCTGGTGGCGAGGCGTGGCGGGCCGCTCTGCACGCGGTCAGGGAGGGGATGGGTGCTCAGTGCCTGGCCTGCGCCCCTGCTGGAGGACCTGCAGAGCAGGGAACGGGATGAAATATGGGAGATGTTGGGAGGCACAGCCCACCCTGCCCTCCTCCCAGTACCCCTGGAAGCTGCGTTCACACCTGGCAGGGGGGAGCTCTTCTAAGGAGGGTGAAAGCTGGCAGGTGTGTGGTGCCTGCCATGGCCGAGATGCCGCTTGGGGCACCCGCATCCCATGTCACAGTGTCCGGGGTTCAGGGCTCAGCTCTGCTTCTGATTCCAGCTTCCTGCTGGTGCGTACCCTGGGTTGAGGTGGCTGGGTCTCCATCACCCATGTGGGAGACCTGGCTTGGGTTCCTGGTTCTTGGCTTTGGCCTGGCCCAGCCCCTTGCTGCAGGCAGTTGGAGAGTGAACCAACAGATGGAAGGTCTCTCTTTGTCTCTGTCTCTACCTTCAAAAAGATAACACAGATTGATAAAAATGAAACGAAAAAGAGTATCTTAAAAAGGGTGAAAACTGCAGTAATGGAGCCCAGCGCCTGAGTGTTGAACACGGGTCCCTCCCAAACCAGTCTCCGAAGGATGCTCACCTGCTCCAGGCCAGAGCAACGCCAGCTGCAGCACGGGCCATGCCTCTCGGCTGCCCGCCGACTGCGCTCAGGGCAATCATGGCCCCCACTGCCAGCCCCGGAAGGCTTCCTGACGGCCCCCGCCCACCCATTACGATGGCCCTCAGCACTCAGTATTTGCTACTGGACACGTGCACGCAGCTCTCATTTGCACCGCCCTCTTCGGGCTTCAGGATAACCGTGGAAGGAAGGGAGAGTCCAAAGACAGTAAGCAATCCGCCAAAGGTCACCCAGCTAGTTAATCAAGGGAAGCCAGAATTTGCATCCTGACCAGCCTGTTCAATTCCAAGGCCAAAGCTCCTTCTCCGCTGCCCTTCCCATGGCCACCCTCTTCCCAGCAGGCATGTGAGCAGCCTCACGCTGACCTTGACTCCCAGCCCCACATTGAGCTCTGCACAGGGCCAGGGTGCCCACCAAGGGTCTCTGCACTGCCGATTAGCGGCGGGGGACACTGAGACCTGGCCAGAAGAGAAACCTCCCTTGAGGAAGGCAAGAGCAGGTGCAGAGGCTGAGACGGCCTCAGGACTCCTGGTCTGCCTGACCCGGTCCAGGCACAGCTCTCCCCGGAGGGCAAGGCCTGTACTGGAGCTGGGGTGGGGGTGGGGGCTCTGCTCAGCAGCAGCGCAGGACAGGTAGATGAGAGAAGAAGGGGAGCTGGAGGCCTGGGAAGAAACGGGGAATGGTAGGGCCTCCAGGAGCGGACCTGGGTGGCCTGGCCAGGTTGGTGACAGGCCCCCCAGCTTCTGTCCACTTCCTGCCCAGGCCTGGTTAAAGCCTGCAGCCCCCCTTGGCCCTCCCCTCCTCTGACCCTGCTCTGTTCTACCTCCTGATCGCCGCTTGGGAGCTAAGCCCCCTCACCTGACAGGGCCAGCCCCTGGCAACTCACAGAGAGGTCTTTGTGCAAAGGCCAGTCCTGGGGGGGCTGGGCAGCAGCCCCACCCCCCCACATTCCACCCCTCACCGATAGCAGCCGCCTTCCCAGCCTCTCTCTGAGACTTGGCCCTGCCTCGCTCCCTCCTCCAGGAAGCTGCCAGGACTGATGCCCCTTCTCTGCCCCTTGTAGCCCTTGACCCTCTGAAACTTTTTTTAGGAGTCTAGCTTGCCTCACACAGTCAGGGCCAGCGGCCCTGTCCCTGCCACCCCACACTGGTGGCCTATCTCCTGCCCTGGCCTCAGGCCGCCCAGAGAGCTCCTAGGATCCTAACCTGTGGGGACGTGAGAGCGAGGCAGAGACACAGCCCCCTCCTCGGGGTTCCTGGGCCTGTCGCGCCTGCCTTTGTGACAGCTGAGAACCAGTTAACTGGCTGGCTGGGTGCTGGGCTCAGTCCCCGTCCCTGGCGCGGCTGCGTGGCCGCCCAGCTGGGCCTACACCAGGCATCTCTGAGGCCGTCGGCTCCCTTCCCCCAGGGAGAAGGTCTTTGTTCCACATCTCGAAACCCAGCCCCCCGGGCGGCCCTGGCCCTTGCCCTGGATTGCTGCCTCTGCCCGCCATCTCCCCCAACACAGCCTCCCTCGGAGAGACGCCAGTGCCCTCCTGCTCTTTCCTGCGCCCGGTGCTATCTGTGGTGTCCACTCCCTGCCATCACCTCCTCAGGCTCCTTACACTGCCACTCCCAGTTCATTTTCTTTTTTTTTCTTTTTTTTTTTTTTTTGACAGGCAGAGTGGACAGTGAGAGAGAGAGAGACAGAGAGAAAGGTTTTCCTTTGCCGTTGGTTCACCCTCCAATGGCCGCCGCGGCCGGTGCTCTGCGGCTGGCGCACCGCGCTGATCCGATGGCAGGAGCCAGGATCCAGGTGCTTTTCCTGGTCTCCCATGGGGTGCAGGGCCCAAGCACCTGGGCCATCCTCCACTGCACTCCCTGGCCATAGCAGAGAGCTGGCCTGGAAGAGGGGCAACCGGGACAGAATCCGGCGCCTCAACCGGGACTAGAACCCGGTGTGCCGGCGCCGCAAGGTGGAGGATTAGCCTATTGAGCCATGGCGCCGGCCTCCCAGTTCATTTTCATCACTTCCCTCTGGGTGCCCTCCAGGAAGCCTGCCTTAGCCCCCCGGGGCTGGGCACCCGCCGGCTCCGCTCTCCCCACGGCCACTGCGCTTTGTCCAGGTTTGCAGGACAAAGCACCTCACAGCCTGGGTTCACGGGTCCACCTCCCTCCCTAGACTACCAGTCCTCCCAGGCGGCGCTGGGATCTGCACCCGGCACTCGCTGGGCACTCGACAAATGCCTACTGGATGAATGTGGCGACACAGAGGCAGGGGTAAGGGAAAGATAGGTGTGGCTTCAGGGGGTGCTGCCACGGGAGCAAGTGCTGTGGGCTTCACTGGGGTGGCCTTAGATAAAGCTCAGGGTTTGCCCCTGAGGGCCTGGGAGCTTAATTAAGGACACCATTGATGCAGGGGAGGGTTGCAGGCACAGGGGTAAGGCTTGAAGACTTGACCCTGAGTGAGCGCCTGGGGGACGGCCCACCCCCTGAGTTTGGGTGAGAGGTCGTTCTCATAGGACGCCACAGAAGCTAAAAACACAGGTATGGTCCCAGCTCTCCTTGCAGCCTGGGCCTGGGCCTGGGCCTGTGAGTCAGGCGTGGCCAAGCAGACGCGCTCCAGTCTCTGATCTGACTAGGGCTAATGGCAGGCATATAGTCGGTAGTCAGGATGTGACTGTGGGGTTTAGGAGAGAGCTTGCAAGACTAAAGAAACCAGTGCAGGTTTGGCTAGAGTGAAAAAAAAAAAAAAAAAGAAAGAAAGCAGGAGTGAAAAGGAAGGAGCCGCCGGTGCTGAGAGCAGAGCCCTGGGGAGGACCCGGCGGGCTCCAGAGGATTGGATGGAGGGGACCCAGTGCAATGGCCAGGGGGCCGGGTGACGAAGCGCCCCGGCTGAGGGGAGCAGCGGGAGCCGTCGCGGGCCGTCGCGGCCGGCTCCCAGAGCCAAGAGAGCCGAGGCCGAGGCCCGGGAGGGGCAGGGAAGGCGCGGTCTCCCGGGGTGAGCAGCGTGGACGCCGACTGCGGGCTGAGCCTGGCCGACCGCGGGCTGAGCCTGGCTCTGCCCGCCCCAGCGCCCGCTCCTCCCTCCGCTGATCCCGGTTCTGCGTCCCCGCTGCGCCCGCCCCGCAGCCCCCAGTCCCCTGGAAGTAGACCCAGTGCGGAGGGCCTCCCCGGGCTCTCCACGGAGCCTCGCCTCTCCTGGGCTCGCTCTCCCTCCTGCCTTCTCTCCCTACCCTCTCTTCTCACCTCCAGCAGGAGGAGTCTCTCGGGGCTTCGAGGCCGGCCAGAAAGTCCTTCTCAGGGTCTCACTGTGCTCTCGGCTCACCCAGCAGGGCTGGCGCTCAGCCCACACCTGTCAGGGCGGCCATTTTCTAGGCGCCAGCTACCTAAGATGGCGGCTTCCGTTCCCACCGCCGAGCCGCCTGCCCCTGCCTCTTTCTTTCCAGAGCCGGAGCCCAGCGAAGTGGGGGGCCGGGCTGGGGAGCCAAGGCCGGAGGAAGCAAGACAAAAAAGGGCAGAGAAGCTGGCCCCTTGGCACCTCTCTCTGGCGTTTGAGTCCGGCCCAGGGAGGGCGGGCAGCGGAAGAAAGAAAGTAGTGTGAGTTTTTATTCCTGTCCTCTTCCTGCCACCTCCCCGCCCCTCCCCCTACACTTGGATGAAAACAAAATCTCTCCCCTTTTCTCTCTTCTCCGAACCCCCCCACCCTTTTTTTCCTGGCTTCTACCATGAGCCTCCTGGAATGCAAATGAACTATATTATGCAAATATATGCAAATCAGGCTTAACGAGCGGAAGGAGGGGGCAGAATGCCTAATGAGCAATGGTGGAGGGTGCAGATGGAGGGTGGCAGGAATGGCCCCCTCCGCTTCTCAGTTCCCACAGACAGGGGTTTGCAGGGAGTAGCAGGGTGTCCCTCATTTCTGGGAAAGAGTACAAGGGTCAAGGCCCCGTTGCTTCAGCTGAGAAAGCCTAGGCTGGCCTTGGCTGTAGGTGACAGGAGGAGAGCTTAGAGGCAGGGGTTAAGTACAGGGCCTGGCACTCACTTGCACCACCTTGCCCAGAGATTCTGGCTGCCCCAGTCTGCCCGCCTGCGTGGCAGCCCACAGCAGAACCTTCAGCTCCCAGGGCTGAAGAGGGTGATGCTTATGCAGGCCACAGCCTGTGCATCAGAAAGGAGGATTCCCAAGGGAAGATTCCCAGCCAGACCCAGGTTCTTCCTGGGGGTGGGGGTGAAAGCTGTCTCTCTTTGTGCTGTGGGGGCGGGGTTGGGGTGGTTGCCATGGTAATGTGGCATGGAACACCCACCTCCTCAACATCCAGCCCCAGAGGACTTAGGAGTTTGGGGGGTGGGGAATAACGGATTGACACCCCTGATGCCCCTACCACCTGGCACTGCCAGCCGGAGATGCGGCATCAAATCCTGGAGAGAATGGCCCCTTTGTTTCTAGGCTCACAATGTTGGGGGAGCAGGCCTGGGCACACAGAAGGGCCTTTCCCAGGCCCCGTTCCAGTTTGCATGACTCCCACTGGCCTCTGGAGACTCCTTGTGGCCAGCCACTGGCCTCGGTGCCCTGGCAGATGGCTGCTCCCTTGCCTCTTCTCCCATGGGCATGCCAGCTATTGCTGGCTACACCTTCCCCTGAGGCCTCCCCTCCAGACCACCACAGCCAGCCAGCCATCAGTGCCACCGCTTCCTGACTCTCTTGGGTACTAGCATGCCCAGACATGTTGAGGCCCTCTTGTGACCTGCTCCACTAGACCCAGGCAGAGAAACTCCTGGAGGAGGGATAAGACATCATGGAACGTGCTAGGGTAGATCTGGGCTGACCAGCTGAGTGACCGTGGCCACACTTCCACTCCCTGGGGATCTCTCAGATGAAGGGTACAGGGCTGGAAATAGCCAAGGCTCACTGTAGTTCTAGCTGATCTGCACCCTCCATATCCTCGATGAGATCTAACCTTCACCCTCCCTCCTACCAAAGTAGTTCTTCTTATCAGATTCTCCGGTGTCCTGGAGACAGGAGTGTTAACTCCCCTCAGCCTTGGTCTCCTCTTAGGACTATAGTCCACTGAAAACAACTCCCATAGATGCAAACTCCAGAGTCCTTGGTATCTGACCTAACAGACAGGAGGAACCCCCACCTCTCCCTCTCCAAGGTAGTCAGCCCAGCCAGTTCACTCACCACCCGGGAGCTGTCCGTGGTGCTGGATGAGGGTCTGCTGTCCACGTGGAGGAAAGAGGGCTGGAGGGTGGTGGAACACCCACCCACCCCAAGTAAGAAGCTACAGGGAAGAGAAGAAGCAGAGACATGGAAAGGGGAAGCTGCACTCCCAAGAAGTTTCTCCTCTCTGAAGACCTCCAAACCGCCAACACTGCTTTGCAGGAGGAAGAGCACAAGCGTCAATGCATCGCTAGCCCTCCCACCCCTCCATTCCTGAGGAATCCAGGGCTCCGGGTTAGCTTGCTACTCCTCTGGATCCTACTTGGGAATCCACAGGGAGACGAAGTCTTAGTTCTTGTTCTTGAGGAGAGAGCTCAGATTGAGCTGGGAGACAGAGCATAGACCTCTAAATTCCACCCTAAATCCTAAGGCTTCTAAGGAACAGAGCAGTAAAGATGACAGAGATGCACAATCTACACAATAATACTCTAGGTAGCAGAATCTGGGGAGAAAAGGCAGGGAAGGATGAGGGTGTGTGTGTGTGTGTGTGTGTGTGTGTGTGTTTCCTGGGCTTCTATTAGTGCTTCTTGACTCTGGCTGCACATCAACTGATGCTGATGCCTGGGGCTCACTCATTTCCAAATTCTCTGATTTCATTGTCTGGGGCTGGGCCCAAACATCAGTATTTGTTTGACGCTCCCCAGGTAATGTTAGTATAAACCAAGTTGATAGTCGCTGGCCTAGGAGCAAGCAGATAAGAAAAGGTGCTGGTGTTAAGCCTAACTAGCTGGAGAAGGGGCAAGGCCAGGACCCCTGAAGGAGGGAGTGAGCAAGGAAGACAAAGACAAGCATGCACCTGCCCTCTCCCGGGAACTCCTGGATGCCCTGGCCTGGCCCCAGAGCCACCTCAGGCATTGGGTTTATGTCCCCCGTGCTGTGGAAGACCCAACCATCCTCAGGCTGTCCCCCTCCACAGCGCCTTCTGCCGAGACAGGGGATGGGTGCAATGATCCCGGGGGTGTGCTGCTCCCCTGCACCCAGAGGGTCCCCAGGAAGGCAGCTAAGGACGGTAAACAGCAACAATGGTTCCTTTCAGTGTCCAGACTCCAACCCTTCAGTCCAATTAGCAGACAGAGCAAACAGCAATTCAGCTGCCTTCAGCCGCTGTCATAACAAACTCAGAGCTGCCTTAATGGGGGATTAGGGCAGGAGGAGGGGGGGATGTCACTCTAGCCCCGGGAGAGCCTGGGTGGCAAGGAGGGGGTTCCCCTTCTCTCACCTCTCTCCTCTCTAAAGATGAGCCCGCCCACCCTTCCTTCCACCACCCCAGCAGGTCTTTATAGCTTCCTCTTCCCCCCACCCCCCACCCTCCACGGATGCTAAGGCATTAACCTGAGTCCACACACACCCTGTCCAGAGATAACACAACACCACAAAACCCTAGATCTCTGAGGTGCCAAGAGCGAAGGAAGGGGGTGGGAAGGTCAAACTGCCCCAGGACCTGGGGTTGGTGGGAGGGGAAAAAAATAAACACCAGTATTCCAACCCAAACCCCGGGAAGGCAGACTTCCAGGTGGACTTCCAGGCCTTCCAGACATGGAGAGGTCTGTGCTCCTCGGTGGGTCCCCATCCTCAGGGATCCTGTTGGGGGTAGGAAGATGTTGTTCTATAGGGAGGCAAGAGGACTGGAGGAGATGCGCCTTCTGGAAGTCACTCAGTGATGGAAAGAGGCCTGGACGCTGATACGCAGGCCTCTACTTGGTGTGTTCATTCTGCCCACTACCTCGCTGGCCCTTTAAGTTCATCAGCTGTGTTTGAGGTCACTCTAGAATCTAGAAGCTCAATGGCAGAAATGCGGACTTCTCATTTACACACACCACGTCACCTACTTGCATACCAAGCACAACTACTCTTACTGCCAAGGGAGGAGGAGCAAGGCAGCCATTCTGCCGCAGGGACCCAATCTCTTCCTCTAACAGGCTTGCCAAGGACTGTACCTCCTCACCTGAGGCTTTGCCCAGGTCCCCAGGAGGCCCCCCTGCACTCCCAGGATGGAAAAGGAAGAGGAAGTTCCTCAGGTTTAAATGTTTGACATCTTAGTCAAGAACATGCCAGAGAGCCTTCCTGTCTACATTTTGGAAGCAACCCTAAGTTACCAGTCTGCGAACTGGAACCTTTAACCCTTCTGAAATCTAAGAATTGCCCTTCACCCATGAGTATCAGAACAGATCACTAACATTGGGTGTAGAGAATTCTTTACTTGCTGCATTGGCCAACCTACAGGACATAAAGTCTCACCTCCACTTCACAAATATGGGAAGAGAGGCTCAGAGATCTGTGTGGCTGATGACCTGTGACACCTGCACGGGGCACCACTTCAGTCACACTTGTTCCTGTGTCCTCTGGCAAGGCTCACCCATTGTGATGAGCTCTTAACGATCGTAAGGACCTTTCAACCAGACCCTCAGACCCATGGGAGGCCTAGAATTGGGGGGGGGGTGGAATTTGTTCACCCCGTTGAGGGTGTAGGTGACAAAGTCAAATATTTTAGGATAAAGTCGACTTTGGCCTCATCAATTTTAGAATTCAATAGGAGGTGACTGGGATGTGAGGCTGGCAAGAGAAATGGACAAAGAAGCCAGCTTAGAGCTTGATTTCCAGTAAAAATAGGAGGATGTAGCAAGACGGGAAGAAGGGAACTGGGAATTCTGGGCCAAAAGGCAGAGGTATGGCGAGGGAGGCAGCTCCTGACTGCTAGCCCTTCCCAAGCAGCCTCCGGCACCCCCACCACCACCCCTTTCCCTGGTGCCACCAGAGCTCCTGCTGGAGCAGGAGTCAGGGTGTTGCCATGATGGCTGGCTGCATTCAGGAGCATCCCCCCAAGTCCCAGTCTGTCCCCACAGTGGGCTTACTACCTATCCACAGCCAGATCTCCCTATCTCGCCACCGACTTTCTTGCCCACCATGCAGCCACACACATCCAAGCTCATACCGGGTCATCACACACCACTCAGATTCCCATTGTCACAGCAGACACACACACAGCCACCTGCCACTCTCCTGACAAACCCTCCCCCCCCACACACACACTACACCTACACCACACACACCACATGCACACATGGAGTGGTCACAACCTTTACCTCACATCCCTCCTGGCCACTGCTCCCCTCTCCACGGAGGTGCTAGTTCTGTAGAGGGCAAACCCCCCAGGGGACCTCCGCAAGTCCCTCAGCACCTCTGTCCTCCTTTGGAGATCCTGCAGTCAAATGAGAGACAACAATGATGCAAGACTGCTGCAGGCAATGACCCGGGTTCTGCCTCGTGAGAGCCTCGTGGATCCCAAAGATGTATTTCCCAACAGCTAGGTAAGAGGCTAGGTGCTCCTCCCAGCCCCTTCCCACCCCTCCCTTCCCTCTTCAGCTCAGCCCCATCTCACTCGCCCTACCTCATTCCTTCTCCAGCTCTTCCCATGGGGAAATTTACTGGATGAGCCTTGGGTCTGAAACCATTGAGTGACATCAGTGAGCTCATGGCTCCTCATCTGTACAACGGGGTTCAAAGCAGCTACCGCCCAGTGCTGGAAGATTCAAAACAGCACAGCTGCGGCAGAGCACTGGGCTGCCCAGGAAGTAGAGTGGGAGATTACTGGACCCTGCCTAAACTCTCCTCCCTCCCTAATCCAGTCTTCCCCACCTCTGCTCCAGTAACCCCAGTTCCCACAGGCTGAGAGAACAGGAGGCCACTGATCTCTCCCTCTTCCACATCTCCCAGCGAAAGGCACATGTACTCTGCACTCCGTCCAGCCCAGTTTTCCAGTCTGAATTCTCCCCTGCTCCCCCCATAATATATAATCAAATCATGATCTTCCAGCTACGAAGTCAAGAGGAAATGTTAAATTTGCACAGCAAAGTGGAGTCTGTACAAGGTCATTGTCTCGTTCCCTGTTCTCCTGCCCTCTTCTTACTCCTTACAGCCCCCTAGGGACCAGGTCATGGGGAAGCCAGGGGGTGGGGGGCAGGCCCAGTCAATGCAGAGGGGTTCCTCCTAGCCCTGACTGCATTTACTTTTACCCTACAAAGTGAGCCCGGACCATTCTCCTCTCAACTGCACCTAAACACTCTTTTGCTTAAAATATTTAGGTCAAGCCAGATAAATGCATTCTTTTAGGAAAGGCCCTGATTAATCTCTCTAATTCTTTGCTTTCCCTGGGCAGCATAGATTCTAAGCCACAAATTCCTTTGTGTGTGAGCTCCTGGAGGCCATTGGTCCTTGGAGATGATTTCCAGGACAGAGAATGGGTGGGAAGAGAGGGCATCCTGAAAGACCCCAATTCAACTCCTCTGGTCAGGGGAAGAATCTTTCTCAGACATGGGTGCAGGTCCAGGCTGGGAGGAGAAAGAGCCGGAAGAGGGGCCATGGGACCGAGTGGGACTGTGCCCTCCATCCCCGGGGACCCAGGCTGGGCCGAGGTTCCACGGCTGCCGCCACTCATTTTTGAGTGACTCCACCCAGTACCCCCAGCCTCTCCTCTCCCCCTCTGCCTTTTTCCATTTTGACATTCTCAGCTCCCAGCCAAGCTGGAGAGCCCTCTGTGGCTTCGGAGAGAGGAAGACAGAAAAAGTTCCCAGGGGACCTCCTCCAAGCCCCCCTGCCTAGTAGTAGCTGTGAACAGCACACCAACACTGGACAGGCCTGGGCCATGAGCCCCAGGCTTGTCCTGATAAGGTGGCCAGTAGATTGCGACAGATTCCTCCGTTGGAGCACGGTGACCCATCCTTAACAGGGGACCGCCAATGGGGAATGCAATACGACTTCCTTGCTTCCCCCAACTCAGCGGGGAGAACACCGCACCTGCCTCTAGTGAAAATGCAATGGCAACTCCTACCTGCGCAGACAGGGGCTGGGACGTCGCCCCTACCAGAGCAGTCTGGAGGCCAGGGGGTCGCCGGGTCCTCCCGCAGCCTCAGAGCCCGACAGTCCGCGTGGCTCCAGCCCCTCGCTCGGCCGCCCCGCCCCCGCCCCGACGCCAGGTTCCCTGGTCCCCTGCGCAGTGTATGGGGTTATTTTTACTTTCGGTTATCTAGCTTTATGAAGACTCCACACCACTCATACAGCTAGATAACCAAAGATAACAACCAACCCCGCCTCCTGGCTGCCGCCGCCACCGCCTCTTCCGCACAGCCTCCCGGCTGCCGCTGCCGCCGCCGCCGCCGCCGCCGGGACCCACGCGGCCTCCCCGCAGCCCGCCGATCCAGATAGGGGGAGGGTACACGGTGGAGGTGGGGGCCGAGAGAAATGGAGTCCAAGGCAAAAAAAGACCCAGACACAGGGGTAAAGACACGACGGAGACCGAAACCGGAGTGGAAAAGACGTGCTGGCCGGTGGCGTCGAGGTGCGGGGACGAGCCCCGCACCCCAGGGCTTCCGAAGCCCTATTTCCCGCTCCCGCTTTCGCGCCAGAAACGGGAGTTCCACCGATCCCGGGGAGAAGGGACGCGCGGGCTTTTCGTGCCACCCGGGAAGAGGGCAGGGGCCGAGGCGGAGGCCTCCCCGACTCCCGGTCTCCACTGCCCTCCTCTGGAAGACCGGGGACGCATCCGGGAGCCGGCGCCTTCCGCCTGCAGCGGGGCCCGAGCCACGGAGCCCGCCGAGCCGGCCGAGCCCCGTCTCCAACTCGCTGGGGCGGTAGAAGCGAAGCGGAGCCGGCGCAGGGGGAAGCTGGGTCCAAGCTGCTGACCGAGGCGGGAGCGCGCGGGGAAACCATGGGGTACCAACCCTGGAGGCGCCCCAGTAGGAACCAGGGAAATCCCGGCGACCCAGAGGGAGACGGAAGGCGGGGGTGGGGCGGAGGCGACCCGGAGACTCCTAAAAGAAAAGGAAAGGGCCGAGACCCCAGCTGGGCAGAGGCTGGGGCAGCACCTTGAGATGGAGGCCGGAGGAGGGGGAGGGGAAGGGAAACCGAGGCAGCCTGGCAGGTGAGCCGAGTCCCAGGCCGCGCAGAAACTGCCCAGGGCTGTGAAAACGGCCGGGCGAGGGACGCGAGAGGCGCCCCAGGGGCTGGCAGGGATGCGACCGGGCACCGGGATGGAGAAGAAGGTGATGCAGGCAGCCCCGAAGAGGGTGCGGGGCCCGGCGGGCCGCTCGTGGTGGACGCGGGGGGCAGCCGGGATTCCGAGGCGCTCGCCCACCTCGTCCCCACGCCGGCCAGGCCACTTACATCGAGCCCAGGACGCCTATCCGCACACTCCCGCGTGGTTCTCCCAGCTGGTTCCCGCCCATGGAGCGCCACGGACCAGGCTCCCGGGTGCCGGGGCTCAGCGGCTCCAAGGCGAAGAAGCCCGCGCTGCTCTTAGTCTCCGCCGAGCCAGGGTGAGCAGGGTGAAGCAGCTCTCGCCTCTCCGGCTCCCTCCTCGCCTTCTGCCGCCGCTCTGGCCCCGGCGCGCTCCGGCTCCGGACTTTTCATTCATCCTTTCACGCTCCCTCCCCAAGCTAGCCTCTGATTGGCTCTACGCAGTCTGACGTTAACGCCTCGTTCCCCCGCCGGACCCGCCCCTCCCCCTTCCCAGGCCGGGCCCTGGCGCGCAATTGGGGCGCCCTCCCCCCATCCCAGGATGGGGGTGGGTGGTAACGACGGTGTCTGCGCGCTGATTCTCAGCCTCTTGCTGCCTCCCTAACCCCCAGACCCTCCTGCCATCTTCAATCCGTTGCCATTTGTGGCTTTGATCTCCAATCTCACTCTTTCTGTAAGTCTCACATTTTTCCTGGCCCTAGGTCTGCCGCGGGCGCACAGATGGAAGCGATGGGCGAATTCCCCCGCCCGAAAGAATCCGATGACCAGGGGCTCTACCCCTACCTGCCTCCTACAGCAGGTTGTTTGTGCTTCTCAGCTCTGATCCTTCCCAGGCTGCCATTCTAGTCTTTTTTAGGATGGGCAGGAACCTCTCTTGTTGGCTTTCAACCCGAAGCAGTGAGGGAAAGAGTCAGGGGTTCCTCCCGGGAGATGCGGCAGGCGGAGCTGAGCCGCCTTTCCTGCCTGGCAGAGTGGGCAACACCTGAACCCGTTTGCAGCACCAGAGTTTAAGGACGGGGGAGCCTGGGGTGAAGATCTCAGCCGGCCCGACTGGGAGAATCTGATCTGGCTGTGGAAGCCCGTGCTGGCGCCTGCTCTCCCTTCTGCCACTCTGTGCTCCCCCCAGCCCTGCACCCCTACACCCACCTGCACTCCCGCTCCCAGTGGCTGGAGCACTCAAGTCACAGGGACGAGGATCGCCCTCCAGCAAGTTCCCCATCTGGCCCAGCCCGACATTCCTGCCTGGCTCTGCCTCTGAGCCTGGAGAATCAGAGCAGATAATGTGCTGTCCCAACCCTGGGGAATGCACACCTGCTGGTCTGATTCTCCACCCTGGAGGAGTTGGGGGAGATCTGCAGGCCCCTACCTGAGGGGTCCCCGACCTGAGTACACCACCCTTCCACTCACCTACTCTCTCGCTCATCTGCTTAAAAAAAAACACACACACACACACACACACAAAAAACAAAACAAAACAAAAAAACAAAAACAAAAAAACTCTACGACTCAGGTTTCTGACCAGCTTGGCACAGGTGGGCTCCTACAAGCAAGGACTCTTGAACACTCAGTCACCAGCAGTGAGCTCCAGGTGGGGGGGTTGGTGGTCTGGTCCTCATTCCTGACCAGATTGTTTTATGTACGGTCTACATGGCCTGCTCCTGGACAAAGCCAAGCCTGAATGCTATTTGCCTTGGTTAGATTCAAGCCAATAGGACTCACTTGGTGATCCCTCCAAATTTGGAGACCCTCTGGGCAATCCCTTCCTTTGGTGTTGGCCACAGGACCCAGGACTGCGGGGCGAGACCAGATGGAGGCCGGGGCTGTGTGCTTCCCTGCCGCAGTGATAGTACAGGGATGAAGCTAATGGCTGGATTTCCCCAGGTCTCAGGGCATTCTTGGGGCGAGACTCGGCACAGCTTTTCCCCTCTGTCAGCCTCTACGGGGTCTCAAGGCCCTTAACCAAGGGAAGAGCTTTGTAGCAGCTTCCACGGCATCAATTCTTCCCCCTCCCAGAAAGGCGAGCACACCAAACATTGGTGAGGAAGGCAGGAAAGAGACAGGGTGTCCACTCCCCACTTGGCACCCTCCCACGCCCCTCCCAGTTTGCCCTGTAGCTCAGGATCAGGGAAGAGAGGAGGTGTGGGGTCCCTGATGCCCCAGTGCAGCCGCAGAAAAAATGGCACCTTCCCCATTGTTGTTACAGATGGACCTTCCTCCTGGCTGCTGCCAATACACTCCCCAAACAGAGCCTCACTGAGCTCCAAGAAGCTAGGGACCCCTCAGCCTGGTCTCGCCACACCTCCCAGCCCTCAGAACTTCTGTTTTCCACTCACACTCCTCTAGCAGGCGTCCGACCCCACCACACACACACATGCCAGCAATTCTAAACAGGCCCGCACTTGCACAGACACACATCAGCCTCCTCCCCCACAGATAGCTCAGTTTCCCCAAATGTCCAGAGAACCAGCAAGATCGCCATGCCTTTTGCTGTGGCTTCGGGTTCCACCCCAGCAGTGTTCAAATGCAAGAAAGAGAGAGGCCCCACAAAGAAACTGGCTCTGTCCCACGGAGTCCACACCTCTGGCCGGAATCCTGATGAGGTCCCTTTTTGTTTGACTTTGGGCATTGCTTAACAACCCAGTCTCCCACTGCCTCGCCTGCCGCCTGCCTCGGAGATGAAGGTGAGAGGGTGTCTATCTGTTCCGATGGGGATAGAGCCTTAAGGCAGGGACACAGGGCCCCTCCCGCTTCCTGTGAATGGGGATCGGTTTGCGAGCCAAGCCCTGCCATTCTAGTTTCAGACACAAAACTACTTTGAGGGTAGCAAATGAGACAGTGTCGCCAGAGCAGGGGCCATTTTATGCATTTTCGTGGCCCGGGAGGAAGTAAAGAAGGCAAACTTTGCAGCAAAGTCTGCATCAAACATTATAGGTGCCCACTGATAAACCAATAAAGGTGTGTGTGTGTGCCTGTGGGTGCACCTGTGGGTCTGGGTCTGCCATCATTCGTAGCAGGCATGGTAGGGGTAGGTGTGGAAGGAGGGTGAGGATAGGCTGTGTTCTGTGGGGTCTGTGTATGGGTGTGTGTAGGAGGGAGGCGTGGGGGCAGTGATGTCTGTCCTATTCCGTGTTCTCGACTGTTCTGCAGCCTAGACCCTTTTATGGGCTGGGTAGGGCAGACCTGTGAGAGGCTGAGAGCTGGAGCGATGTGGGTGCAGGAGAGGCATTTTGGGCGAGACCCATTGGCCGGCCACAGTCTCTCTAGGAAGGCCCCCCGCCGGAGGAGGAGTGGAACCCTCTGCTTCCTGCACAGAGCAGTCAGCCCACAGAGCAATGGTCTGCAGACCCCACCCTGAGTCTTTCCAGGGAAATGCTGGGGGCCGTGGGGAGAACGCACTGCATCCCTGGTGCTGAACTGGAGGGGTCTCCACTAGCCTGGGAGCCCGCATTCTCTGCCACTGTCCTCCCCACCCCCACCCCTGCAGCCCTGATGCCCACCTATTGTCTGTGAGCTTGAAGAGGCCTAGATGGAGAAAAACATGGCCTGCACGAGGCTCTCTGGATGCAGCTTTTGGACAGATCCTTATGATTCAGGTCCCCAAACACATTTTGGCAGGAAGGCATCCTCTTGAACTATCCAGGTAATTAAATGAAAAGCGTAATTTTTTCTTTGTTTCTATTACTAGGTTAATTTGCCTTGAGGACATAGACGAAAGCTGCTTCTGGGGGAAGGTGGGTGAAGATATTGATTGATTCCTGTCTTACAGGTGCATCTTTACCGTGAATGCTATCATACAGTATTAATTTGCTGTAGGATATTTGCACTGTGTGGGACAGTGACAAATAAAAGTGAAAATTGCCAACAGAAAATGCTGAGACTATGCAACAAATATGTGTGTGTGTGCATGCATGTGTGCGTATCTACCCAAACAGAGTACATGGAGGTCATGTCCTACTGGCTCTTCTGCCTGCTGTGCCCGCACACCACTCACTGGCCTGAGAGCCCCATAGTGCCAGGGGGGTGAGAACAAGATGGCAGAGGGTTTCTGGTCTGTCCAATCGGTGCCCTTTCTAGAGGCTCCTCAGCCATCAGCAAATGGCCTCCTTAAGCGGGCTGCACGTGCACACACAGGCACACACACACACACACACTCACATCCGTCCACTCAGACAAATGCAAAGACAGATCCACAGATCCTCCTCCCAGCAGCACGGCTTCCCATGCTGACACACACGCCCACTAGGATTCCCAGGTACCTCTGTTCCTCTCCCCAACCAACCACCTCCTCCAAGGTCAACTGGCCTCTGTCTCTGCCTTCAGAAGCCTATAGGAGAAGAGGGAAAGAGTCCCCTGTACCCCCAAACCCTCTCCTGTTTGTCGCAGAACTGCATGCAGGGTGGCCCTGCCATTCCCAAGCCCCCTTGTTCCCTTCCCGTTATCACTGACTACATACATCTTCCTGCAATCACAGTAGCCAAAAACGAAGGGCTAAATGCTGGGAGAGGCAGGCAGTGGGCTGGAGAGGTGTGGAGAGCAAAGAGGGGCGGGCTGGGCCCCAGCTCCTTTCCTCCCCCCTCCCCCCAACTCACACCATCAAAAACAACAATGAAGGAAATAGATACCCCAACACCCCAAGGAAGTCACCTGCGAGGACATCCATGACGCCTGTCCGCCGAGGACAAACAAGGCTGCTGCTTCCTGGGTGCCCGGCTCCTGCCAAGGGGGAGAGAAGACCAAGGTTGAAGTCCTCTGGGCAGCTGTGTCCTCCTCCCCCACCGGCCCCCAGCCTCTCCCTCCACCCCTCTTCCCCCAGGCCTGCCCCTCCAGGGCCCAGTCTAGGTGCTCCTTGCCAGCCATCAGGGCTCCAGGGCTGCACAGGGAAATCCAAAGCCAGAGAAGGCAGGGCGCCTGCGCCGGGCATCTCTGGCTCCATCTCACCTGGGCAACTCTCTCCCAACCTGGTCCTCACAGCCTCCCTCCTCCTGCATCTCAGACCTTCAGGCTCAGGGCTTGAACAGAACCCGTGCAGCTCTGTGATGGATACCTGAAGAAGTGACCTCTTGCCCCATCAGATGCCTGCTACTCCTCCCCCCCAAATTTTCCAGGAAGCCCTCGGGGACGGGGACTGGAAGAACTCTGAGCTAAGGTTGGGGGTGTAGCTTTGTCTGTCTATATCTACTAGCACCGCAAACTGTAAAGTGCTGTGCACGGTTAAGAGATTGTCAGTCGCGTTCTCTCTCTGGCTTTCTCCACCCATCTGTCACTACCTGTCATCCTCCATGGGTGTACATTTTTCAGGATGCAGAAGGACATATCCTGTAGCTAGCCATTTCCTCCCCTGTTTTCACATACACAAAAGGTAGACCACAAAGCCGCGATGGTTAAGTATTATTTGAATGTTGGGTATGGAACCCAGCCTCAGGACTTTACCGCCTTACCTTTCTACTAAAGGTAAATTAGGAATTGAGGAAATGACACGTATACCATGGGTGACCCTCTCCTAAAATACTGTGAGGAGCAATTTCTGTGTGTGTGTGTGTTTCGGCTAAGTTGGTACATTCTTCAACCTCATACTCACTCCCACAACTAATTCTTCTTCTTTGTAATCCTGAACGCAGGAGAAATCCGAGAGGGCGGGCGGGGTGGGAGTGCGCCGAGGAGCAGGGGTTAGCCTCCAACCCAAGCATGATTTCTAGGAACAGCCCTTTGAAGATCCGTTCCCTGCCCCCCAGCCCTGAAACAACCGCAGACTCCTGGCCTCAGCTCTTCCAACACCCCCACTTCATAAAGGGGTGTCTCAGTCTGAAATGATCTTCCTACCAAAAGGGGGGCCACCCCCACCCTCACCAACTTGCTGATGTGCTCAAAACAGGCACAGAGAAAGCTGGGGAACCCGATTCGCCCTTTCACCTCAGCCAGCGACCTCTCCTCACTGATCCCTGCCACCCCCGCCCCAGCACACACGATGGAGCGTGGGGCTGAAGAACACAGCCTGGCAGGCACAGAACACGTGTGTGCACGTATGATGGCTGGTAGCCTCCGCCTCGCCCAGCAATCTGGCCTCTGGGGAGCCAGGAATAGCCTGCTCGCTCCAGCCTGCACTCCCTCACCAGCACGGCCCCCACCGGTCTCCCAGTAGGCTCGGGGAGGCTGGGCAGCCACTGGCCAGGTGTGCTGCCTGCTTTCTAGACTCCCTGGCCCTTCTTAAAACAAAACAAAACAAAACAAAACAAAAAAAAAACCAAACCAAACCCGCGTGCTGGGTTCCAGGGGTGGAGAGGGCTGGGGCAGGGCTGCCTCCCCCAAGGACTCTAACCCTGTGCCCCAGCACTTACTTGCCTTTCGGCTTCCCCTTAGCCCCATCAGCTCTTAGGGAAAGGAGGGATGCAATCTATTTAAATGCCACAAAATGCTCTTGGATTTTAGTTCTGATTTCCACTCTCTCCCCACCTCCCCCCACCCCGAAATGTGGCTCCGTCTCCCCTGCTCCTTGTGTCCCCCAGAATCTGTCTTCTCCTAAAATCTGAAGTCGCCGGGGCTGCCCAGCAGTGGAGCCAGAGCACAGAGCGAGGGTCAGGAGGCCAAAGAGAACCATTTTTCTCTTCCCTCCCCTCTCCACTACAATCCTCCGCCCGCCCGTCCTCTGCGGCCAGCATTAAGATGTTGGCCGTGTCTGGTGGAGAGAAGGGAGGGGCGGATTAATAGGATCAGTAGCACCGTGACCCTAAAGCCCCCCCTCCCCGATCCCATTGACAAACTTAGTGAGCTGTCTCCGGCTGGCAGGGGCTGGGGCGAGGGGGGGGGGGGCCGGAGGCGCTCTGGGCGGCCAGGCAGGGCCACTGCCGCCGGCTCAGCGACAGACGCCCAGGGAGCGGAAGGCAAAATCCCCACGCTGCCAACTCCTCCTCCAAGCCCTTCTCTTTTGGGGACCCCCCCAATCTTTGATCAGCCGATCTTTCTATGATTACGGCAGCAGGCTCCATTAGCTGGCAGGCAAAGTAGAAAGGCTAGGGCGCCCTGATTGATGGGGGGGCTCCCTTCCCACCCCCAGCGCGGATATCTGAGGGCGCTGGATCCTCCCTGGCCCCCAACGGCCACTTACCCGGCGCCCGCGGGGAGGAGAGCCTGGTCGGGTGGCCCCTGCGGCTGGACTGCCTCTCCCGGCCCCTAGCCTCTTGTGGAGTGCAGGCTGCAGCTCCGATGACGTAGCATCCATCTATCCATTCAGGAATTTGGTTTGCCTCTCTTTCTTTCTCTTGCTGTTCTCCCTGGAAAGGCAGCGAGAAGGGGGTGCTGCCCCTATCCGGAGACACCACCACCACCACCACTTCCAAAATAGCAGCCCACTCTGGCAAAGCCCCCTCCCGCCTCCTCTCACGCCTGGGTGGGAAGGGGTCTTTGTCATCTCTGTTGGACTCTTCCCCACCCCACCCCACCCCCTGCCTTTTCCAACCTGAGCCAGGGAGAAGGGGCTAAGAGAAGCTATTGTTCCTCCAGGCCACCCTCGTCCCCCAAGGCAGCCAGAGAAAGGGTGTGACAGAGGCGTCCCTCTCAGGTCTCCTTGGAGTTTTAATTCACTCTTGCACTTGAGGGGGTGATGAAATGGTCTTGGCGGGGTGGGGGGGGTGGGGGGAGCTGAACTGACAGGGAAACACAGTAAGACACCAGTGGGAGTCTCAGGGTGCCCCAGTGCCCCCTTCCCAGACCTCTCCCCAGACCCCTCTCCCTGGGAGTGTCACTGATGGCAAATCCAGACGATGGCAAGAAGGGGGCTGGAGTGGGGGGTGACGAAGGCCAGCACTTGGCAGTCTAGACAGGAGAAGAGGAGGGGGTGGGACCACAGATTCAAAGTGGGAGATAAATCATCTTGTTCTTAGAGAAGGGAGAGCAATTTGGGGGTCGGTTTCCAGGGCTGGGGTCCCGATATTTGGTGGGAGCTGGGGCCCGCAGTGGTACAATGGTCGGGTCTCTTTTCTCTCTCTCACCCCCACCCTCAGCCCCTCCCTTCTGCTCCCTCCCACTCTTGCTGGCCTGCATGGGAACTCGCTCTGAGCTCGACGTGACAGACAGCAGGCCTGCATGCTAATGAAGTTTGTCTCAAGTTCATTGTCAAAGCCCCCCCTTCCCCAGGGCCCCCTCCCCTCCTCTCTCATACACAAATCTCCCTCCAACTTTTGTCCCACAGACCTGGAGGCCACTTGAGTCTCTGCCGGCTCCCCTCTCTCACCCTCCCCCACTGCTTTCAGCACCCCCCCACCTCCCTCAACTGGGGGTGAGGCTCTGCTCCCCGGTGACTTCCCAGCTACCTTCTGCTCCCCCCAATGATCCCTAAGTTCCCAACAGGGGGAGGATTCAGAGGGCTAAGGTCAGAGGCTACAGATCTGTCCTCCTTCCCCCACCTCCAAGTCGGGACCCCTCAGAGGGGTGGAAGAAGGCAGTAGCTTCCCCCCACTCAATGTTCCCTGCCCCCCAGTTCTCAGCCTGATCTCGGCTCCGTCCCCCCACTCCAGCCCCAGCTCCCCCTCCCCGTTCCTCCCATTATGATTATTTTGCTCTCCCCTTGATTACATCTGCCTCACTAGCTCAGAAATAAAGATCCTTTGAGACTAATTTTGCACCCCCCCACCTCCCCACCCCGTCCCTCCCCCTTCCCTCTAGAGCAGGGCTCCCGTTAGCTCCTTTCTCACCGGCTGCAAGACATTGAGTTCCTTGTCTAGGGAGCTGGGGGGTTGAGGGGAGGGGGTGCCAGTGGAATGGGGGGGGTCTCTCCAACTCTGGGACGTGTGCAGCAATCCAAACCTGTCCCTCTTTTGTTCCGACAAATCTCTTCATACTGTCCCCACCCTCTAGAGCCTGCCTTTCTCCCAGTAACCAGGGGATAGTGGAGGAAGGGGAGGAGGACCCTGAACTCACCCCACCCCTCAATTCCAGGGAAAGGAGGGAGGGGGAGAAGAGGGGGAGAATTTAAATCCCCCCCTCATTAGCCAGAAAGGAAGCGAAAGGGGATAATTATAATTAAAAGCAGACAGCTGTGGATGGCGTCTTTTATGTTCCTCCAAGCTTTTCCCCATCCTTCTGCCACCATCACCCAAAAATCCGCACCCCGCCCCCCCCTGCCCCATGTCCCTCTTCCCCACGGGAGTGCAGAGTGTGTTGGGAGACTGTGGCCCTGCGCAGGCGGGTGGGCACAGATCTGGGCAAGGAGTCTCCACTTCCTCTCCCGCAGAGAATTCTCTCTAAAGCATCAGAACAGGCCCGGGCTGGGGGCTGGGGGGGCATCCTCTCCCTAGCCCCCAACCTGTACCCCAGACCGTGGGCCTATATGTGCCCTCGCATGCAGGCGATAGCAACGAATGCAACAATTTGGGGGAATTGATTTCTCGAAAAAATAGCCCGAACATTCCTCATGGAAATGAATGCTAAGGATTCAAGGTAACTTGGAATCTCTTCTCCTGCAGACATATCTTTCTTCTGGCCTGGGCGCTACCTCCACGCACAGGCAGGGTAGCTGAGAGCCTGGCCCAGGAGCCGAGGGGGTGTGCTGTAACAAAGAGCGGCGGCTCCGGCGCTTGGTCCACGGACACAGCCTGCATCGCTCTGGGGGTGGTGTTGCTAGGCCCAGCTCTGCTATCCTATGTATTTATAGAACTTGATCATAGGCCAGAACAGCAGGGTAATTATAGCATTATTAGCATATATGCAAATTGAGTAACCTATATACGCTGAATGGGGGCAGATTCTTATTTATTTCTCTCCCTCCCCCCCCCACCCCGTATCAGCTCTGGCTCCTCCGAGCTGCACACCAGCAATTATCTGACATTAGAAGAGGGGGTGGGAGCCCCAGAGGAGGGGGCTGAAGGGAGTAGGACAGAAAAAAAACCCTATGGGCGGGCGGGTTTTATCTCCTTTTACTCACTGTTATTCTGGGAAGAGTGGGGAGGAGCTCAGTGAGAAGCCTTTGAATTAACAGAGGTGGGGGGGCGAGGGGAGGGGAGGATGTGAGGGAGAGACAGAGACCTGAAAACAGAGACAGATGAAGCGGGCAAAGCTGCGAGGCCGCGACGGAGCCAGAGACAGACGGAGCCCCGGCTCACCGGGAGCAGGGGAGCCAGTGCTGGGGAGTCTGGAGCTCACACAGAGAGAGGCACAAAGGATGCAGATCGGAGGGCAAAGGGGGGGGGGCGGGGCCTGTCTCAGGAGGTGGGAGTGGTGCTCTCTCCTGGTTCACTGGGCTGGGGGTGGTGTGGGGACGCAGGCCTTCTTCGCCCACTATGGTTCTGGAAGCTGAGCCAGTCCTAACCCAGAGCCTAGCCCGCACGACCAAACCCTGTCCTGTGTTTTCACAGCTCAGCTTTGGGCTTAGTCATTCACTCCAGTCAGGGGCTGAGAAGCACAAACCTGGGGGATAAATTGTAATCCCAGTCCCTTCTTCCTCCCACCCGGTCAGAGCCAGAGCGCCTCCCCCAGAGCCCAGGGCTCTCTTAGGAGGTCTCCGCCGGGCGCCAGGGTCTCTAAGGAGCTGCATTGCCCCCGCCCCCTTTGCGTGCTCTGTGCCTCTTACCTACACCTTGGTTAGGAAGCAGGAACCTTTACAATTTGTACCATTTTCCCCCATATTGTTCCCAGGACTTGCCCTACCGGGCACCTCTGGCTCTGCCTGGCTGGGTGGCCACGGGGCGGCGTCCTGGATTCCAGAGCTTCGCCACTTCCTTCCTTCCATTCTATTCCCAGGAGCCCTCCAACCCCCAGGTGGATTAAGGGACCCCAAAGCCCTTTCTGTACAGTTTCAGATGTCTCCCTCCAGGTTCCTGCTTGCCATGGGGCTGTGGACCACTTGTCTCCAAAGTTGCCTTTGCCCGCCCGAGGAGGCAAGACCCAGAGAGGCCACTACAGGATGCAGGGAGAAAGCTGGCAGGGCCCAAGGACCCTCAGAGGGGGCGCAATGAAGCCAAAGCATCCCCTAGAGAACCAGGGACAGAGACACCCACTCCTACAGGGAGCGACCAAAAGCCTGGCAGGAAATCCGAGGCTGTCCTTAGCACTCAGATTTTACACAAACACGAACATTTGCCGTCACCATGTGAGGGGAGGGATCTTTACAAAGTTCATGGAAAATGCTGCGGATTACAAGAAAACCGTTCATGGATTTCGAATGTGGGAGCATAAAAATAAATGCATTTTAAATCTCACTTGCCCATGAGCTGTAGAGAGCCCAGCAAGACGGGCCCGCTTCTCCACCAGAGATCTGTATACCGCTCTCTTCCTGAGTCGGGCTGCTTCCTGCTCTCTGTGGCCGAACAGAAGATTGAGAGAAGGGCAGAGACCCGCAGAGAGTGCGGAGAAAGGAACAGGGAGGCCGCAGGCAGCGCCCACACTGAGCCTGGCAGCTAGGGCCCCCGGGGGCCAGCCTCTCCATTCCCCAACTCACATTAGAGACCTGGGGTGGAGTCCTCGCTCTGGCCTGTTCCTCCCACAGCCAGCCGCAGAGCAGAAGTGGGCGAGTAGGTTTGCAACTTCCCTAGGCATACCCCTGCACGCAGAATAATCCGGGAGTCACTTGGACAGCAGATCGACCCCTCCCTGGACAATGCTGTAGACTGAGGCACCTGCCCGCACTTTCCTGTGTCAGTAACTAAGCTCCAAACCTAGGGCGTTCTGTGTGTGCACGCACGGACATCTCTTAGCCTCCTCTTCCATCCTACAAGATTCATCTCCTTGGCAATCCAATCCGTGGCCGCACGTGGCATGCCTCTTACTGGGCTCCTTTGTTGGCACCTGTCGTACGTGGAGCAGGCCCGAGTGTGTCAGGAGCAGGTGTAGGTGTTCACCCAGCGCGCAGTGAGTATACACTGATATCTTTGTGTGGACCGGCTACCACGCTCACTGCTGCTATAGCATAGGGCATCCTTCAGGTCTGGTGGGGATGTGGCTCAGACGGCCCCCATTGACCCCAGGGTCCCCCCTAAAGCTGCAAAAATCCGCCCCCTTTGGTAGCCTGATGATGTATCAGAGGCACATGGTTCTCCCATAAACCAGCCTGATCACACAGGTCCCCGTGACAGCAAACCACCAGACCTCCCTTGCCCTGGACACTGGCTAGCGCTCCAGCTTGCTAATAGCACCCTGCACTGGGAAGACTTTCCATCTCTCCCTAGGTGTAATATTGCTGCCTCTATTTGTACACCCAGGTTACACAGAATCACACACAGCTCCTCTCCTTGTTTTCACGTAAATAACCATCTAGGTATGGGCACCTGGCCAGATGCTGGCCCGGCGTGTGACAAACGTGGCACAGAATGCACGCTGGCACCCACATCAACCCTGCATTGCGGTGTCACTTCCCGGTGTGGTGCCCATTTCTGTCTGCCCCATGCAGAGCTCCCCAGGTCTGATGCTCACTTCTGGGGCTCAGGATCCTGGAATTCACTGTGCCCCTCATCTACACTGTCAGCCGGTGCTGGAACACGGGCCACTCCCACCCCCACCCCCAGCAGTCCAGGGAGAGGGACTGAACTCTGGTGGTTGTGGGTATGGGTGCTAGGCCACTGTTGTGCAGGCTGGTGAGACCAGGCAGGCCCCTTTCCGGCTGCTGAGTCCCAGGTGGGTTGCGTTAGGTTGAAATTCCCCCAGGGCTGCTGCACCAAGGAGCAGTTTTCCTGTCTCAAGCCCTGTCTATCTGCAGCGTCCACCATGGTGCGCACGGATGAGCCTGTCCACCAAGAGCCCGTTTGTGTGCACGCTGTGTGTTATAGGTATGTGCCTGGGGCTGTCTGTGTGACCTGTGTTGGTTGTTGGCTGCGTGTTGCAGTGCTGCAGCCTCCCTGGAGTGGGGGTAGGAGGAGTTGAGGGTGTTGGTCAACAGGCCCTCAAAATCCCAGTGAGTGTCGTCCGTGTGAACTGCGGGTCTGGCCCAGGCCCAGGCCGGAACACGACAGCTCCCCGGCTCGGCTGGGCGCTCTGGCGGGGAGAGCCGCTCGGCTCCCGCTTTCGACAAAGTCCGAGCTCAGCGACACGGCTGCGGCTGCGGCGGCGGCGGCGCGGAAGGGCGACGCCTTGGGAGCCATTCGCCCCTCTCCCCGGCGCGGACACTGCGAAAGCTTTGCGGTCGCGGGACATATTAAAATAATAATAATAAAATAATAAATAAATAAATAAATAAATAGGAAGAAGCGTCCAGGCTAGAAGTGAGCAAAGAAAAGAGATTCGGAAGCATAAGAAAAAGAGGAACAAAATAAATGCACGTGAAAGGAACAGAACGTGGCAACAGACAAAATCACGCGGAGGGAAATGAAAAGGAAACATTCCAAAGGCATCACAGGAGTTACACTGATCGATAGAAAATGCGAGGAAAGGACAGGGAAGCCGGGGTGTCCGGGTTCCCGCAGGGAGAGCCCTGGACGCGGCGGCGCGGCGCTGGGGGAGTGGGGACTTGGGGGCCGGGGCCGCAGACTTGGGGGCCGGCATCGCCCGAGGGCCCGGGCCTCCACTGCCCGCCGCCGCGTCCGACCCGGCTCGGGCGAACAGTCCCAGCGCACGCCCCGCCACCTGCCGCGGGGACGACGGGGGGTGCGCCCAAGGCCACTGTCGACCCCACCCCCGCCGCCTACCCTGCCCCCGGGGAACGAGCCACCACGGGGGACCCTGCAGCCCGCCGCTCTCTGGGCCGCTCTCCCCAGGGCGCGCGGGGTGCTGTGCCAAGCCGAGCCTGGGGCGCACTGGCGGGCCGGGGGTGTGGGGACCTCGGCCCCGGAGGGAAGCGGACGGCGCTCTCTCGGCCAAAGTCCGGCCACAACTAGCCGGCCGCGATGCGGGGCTAGGAGCTCCCCAGGAACGCTGGGGAGCAGGAAGGGAGATGGAGGTGGAGATGCAAAGATGAAAGAGAAAGAGAGACGGGGCAAATAGAGACAAATAAAGGGAAAGGAGACATTGAGGGGGAGGGGGAGAGAAAGGAGGAGGGAGAGGCCTGCGCGCCCTCCGGGAATGCGGCCCGAGGCGCAGCCATCCCACGCCCCCGCGGCCGCGGGGAGCCGCTCTGCTTTCCTTTTCTTCCCAATCTGCGCGTTTTGGCCCTGGACTCTACGTTCCCAGGAGCGTCTAGGGCCGCGATCCAGAGATTTGCTGCTTCCGAAGCAGGCAAAGGGGACTGAGCGGCCGCGGGTCTGACGCTGCAGCGCGCACAGAGAAGGGGCCTGGGAGAGGGACCCGGCTCCCCAGGCTCCTCGGGACGCAGGCACGAAGCTGCTTCTGAGATCACACCGGGCGGACGCCGCCTCGGTCCAGAGCTCACCCATCCTCCTGAGCCCTCGCTGGTTCCAGGGTCTGGGGAAATCAAGTCGGTAGCCATTTCAGTCTCCAAAAACCAGAACAAACACCTCCCTCCATCTCCCTGCTGCCCCCGGGGGCTCCATCGGGGGACTGGGGAGTGGGGGCAGGTGCAGGAAGGGGCTTCCCAGACCAGCCACATGGCCTGGCCAAGTCACTTCACCCTTTCCTTCTGGTCCTAGGCTAGGGGTCCCCAGCGTCCTCCCAGTGCACAGCTGATGAGTGGTGGGAGTGAATGGGACTTCCACGGGACCACCCCAGATTTGGTGTGTCCATCGACTTTGTCCCAGAACATTCTGGACCTTCCCAGTACACGCAGTGTGTAACCATGTGTGGCTGGTTGCGGCCAACATGAGACAGCCATTCAGACAAGGAATGGCCACTTTTGGGAGGAGCCCCCCTGGAGAGCAGGGAACAGAAAAGTGTCCTGGGAAGGTCTCCTACAGGAGGCATGTAACCTGGGCAGAAGAGGCGTGCTGGAGGATGCAGGCGTCAGGCAATGCACCGTCTGAGTGACAGAGATGACAGTGCCACCTCTTAACCCAAACTCGTTGAGCCTCCTCCACGGGGTCAACAGAGGCCAGGAAACCTGCTGCCCCCTCTCTGGGTGAGAACAGCAAATCCAGGAACCCAGAGTCTGCCAGCGTGGCCTTCCCAGCCGCTCCTGCAGTAGTAGCTTTTCTTCCAATCAGGCATGCCATGTCAACTTTCTGATTTTCTTGTTTTGGAGAGGACGCTGGGTGTGGGGAGGATGGCTGTCCCTTGCCGCCTCTCCCTTCTTGCCTCACAAGTCTCTGAAGCTGTGTGTCCAGTGGTCTCAAATAAATGTATGCACACATACCATCAAGTGTGTTGCTCTTTTTAAAAATGACACTAAAAGAAAGCTTCTCTCAATGCATTGGAATAGCCTGAGATAAAGTGCTGCCCAAGCCAGCTTCATCGGGAGCATCCCCAAGTTACCTGCCCTGGCTTTGGCCGTGACAGATGATACACTCCAGAGTGCTGGGATGTCCATTCGGAAGTGGGCATTCCATGCTGCCGCTCTGCCTGTCCCTCTCCCACACTCTGCTTTTTTATGGATTTATCTTCAGAGAATGACGGAGGCTCCGTGTGTGGAAGAGTGCATATTTTGATTGTGCCTTGGTTTTTAATACCCTAAACTAAATCTAAAAACGTTAACACAATTCCAATCAGAAATATATTAAAGAATGGGTTATAATAACAAAATTTTGGAAGTATCTTAAATGGGGGGCGGTGAGCGGATAAAATGCTGTTGGTAGAGGAAAAGTTTAGGCTTAGCAAAGTGAGTAGAGACGTCCTAGTAGACGTTGAGTGGAAAAGTTGAAAGGTGAATGATTCCATTTGTACAGAGTTGAGACACGTGGAATAGACATATATAGAATTCACAGGATGCTCATGTCTCTGAGAACAGGACAAAGAAAACTGGTGCTCTGCATGTGTGTGCATGCATGTGTGTGCACGCGTGTTTGTGCATGTTTGTGAACACACACATGACTGCAGAAAGCACAGGTAGAAAACCTAAACCTCTGTGCGTGCAGAAGAAAGGGAAAAAGCCTTGTACCAGGTCGCCGTCCTGGGGCTGGGTCACTTACTCAACTGAGTGACCTTAGGCAAGTCCCTGACCCCCGCTAAACCCGTCTCCTGATCTTTGGAACGCCCGCCTCACGCAGCTGTTAGGAGATCCAGATGGAACTGGGCACCTCGAGGGTCCTTTTGAAACCGCGAAGGGCTGTCTGAGCGAAGCTGCCACGCGCATTGCACAGCACTCCTGTGACAGCCCAGGGAGTGCCACCCATTGCACCACACCTCACGCCCCCGGGAGTTGCCTCTCTGCCCCCCCCAGCGGCCCCCAGAGTCTCCAGATGGAGGGGCGCCTGGGCCTGGAGGCGCCTGGGCTCTGGGGGACGGAGGTGAGTTGAGAGTGTGGTGGGCTGGGCAGGGTGGTTCATTAGCACCTCACCTCCCCTGTCACATTCCTCCCCCTCCCCAGCCCTGCCCCCTCCTCCTGCCTCTTTCTTCACCAGGCCTGGAAGTACCTGGCAGTGGACTAGGTCCCTCAGGGACCGTGGCGTTGGAGGTGAGGGGTGGGGAGTGGAGGGAGATGGGAATGGGGGGGGGTACAACTTGCATTCTCAGGACACTTTTCTGACTCACTGTGGCTGTCTCCCCAGGCCACCGTCCCCTGAACACCCGGGGAGTGGCAAGGCTGGCTGCCGGGCACCCCAGCACCCCCACAAGGAGCGGGGGAGGAGGAGAGAACAGAGGCTTCGGGAGGGGCGCAGGGAGGAGCCTTATTTCTGTGCCCGCTGCGGAGGAGGGAGGCTTGCGGCGCGCAGCTAACGAACCTCTTCCCAAATTCTCCGTGCGGGATTTGGCTGCTCCCAGAGGGGGGTCCTTTCTAACAAGGTGCCCCCGGGCCCTGCCCCTCCCTCCCCAGGAGCCGGAGCCGCCAAAGGTTGGCGGAATATAATGGATCATTTTCCAATTTACCAGGGTCTTAGAGATTACGCCGCTAATCCCATCAAAGACCATCTGCTTACATTGTCCCTCCCGGGCCAAAATAAATAGATCCTTTACTGCCCGCACTTCAGCTCCTCTGGGGCATTGTCGCCGCCGAAAGTCGGACAAGGCCCCTAGCATTCCCCCTCCCTCCCGCGGCGGGCCGGACCAAAAGCAGAAAACAAACTTAGCTTGTCTGAGGTGTGAAAGGTCACCGCTGCTCCCGACCCACATTCTTCTCAGGAGCCTGCGACGATGGGAATCGGGGAGAGGGGCGGGCCCGGGGCTCTGGGGGTCTCGCGGAATCAGCCCCCTGCGGAGGGTGTGCGCGACCGGCTGTGCTGGGCCCCGGGGTCCTGCTGTCTCCGCTCTCAGGCCACCTTAGCCCCGGCCCACTCTGCGTCTCTCTCCCTCGGGGCCTTTTTCTCCCACCTGTGCCCGTTGGGAGACGATTCGTGAGATCCAGCTTTCTCCCTCCCTCGGCAGGACTTGGAATATCCACACCAACCCTGGCTGGATTCCATCCGAAAGCCACTTCTGCAAGCTTGTCACACTCACTGTATTTCTTATTACTCTGTTGCTTCGCAGAAGGGGAAGGGGCTGCTTGGGGGGTGCCCTGGAGCCCGGGATCTCGGGGCCACAGGCTCGCCTGTCAGCTCTCAGGAGCTAAAGCAACGCGCGTTCTGTGCTCAGAGGAGGTAACTGCTAGAGAAATGCGCAAAGGAGTGAGAAAGGGGGTGACTGGGGGCACCTCGGGAGCCTGACAGCTCTGTGTGCTTCCCCTGCATTCCACTAGCCCCCCCCCCCCGCTGTTTCCTAAGCTGCGTCTCCCCACCTCCCAACCCTGCAGGACCACAGGCAGGGGCAGGGCTCCTCTGGGGACTGTGCCCCAGACTGGAGAGCGGCAGGGTAGCGTGGCACAAACAGGACCCAGCACCAGAGTCTGGAAGGTCTCAGCGTGGCTGAGCCCCAGCTCTGCCACTTCTGGGCGCTTCTGTGACCCCAGGCAGGGCTCCCCAACTTTCTACTTCCTCCGGGAGACAGAGAGCGTGCCCACCTCCCAGGAGCACAGCCAAGGTCATGTGACGTCCTGAGGATGCTCAGTGCCAAAAGCGCTCTGTGGGTCAGCGTGCGGAATGAGCTCCAGACCACGCAGAGGCAGGAAGGACTGGCTCAGGAGACGACTGAGAACTTTCTGATGTGCTGGTTGGCTCTCTGTGGGGTGCCATGTGACGCTGCGGTGCACGGATGCAATGTGTGACGCCCCATCAGGGTACCTGGCAGAGCCCTCATCTCAGGCTTTCTTTGTGTTGGGGACATTTTTGCTCAAGAAATTTAGTAGGGATGTGCAAAGCGTGCATGTAGAGACAAACATGAATTTTCCAGGTATAAAATGTGATCATTTATTTGCTGGACACCCACTCGTAGGTACAAAGCTTTAAGGGACACAAACGGGAAGGGGACACAGTGCCCCGCCTGAAGCACAAGAACAAGGGGACACACGTCTACGTGTCTGCCTTGATACTGGAGGGGGAAATCCTAGGGAGAGAGAAGACAGCGTTCAGCAGGGCCGTGGTAATGTGGGACCAGAAAGGCCCAGGAAGGGCGGGGCTGCAGGGTGGCCTCTGAGGGATGGGTGGGAGCCCAGCCCGCGCCTCGTGGGAGGAAGCAGAGAGACCGTCGGCACCATGGGCTCCGCAGGGTGTGACTGCTGGAAGGTGGTGCGGTTTGGGCTCTGAGGGAAGACCTCCCAAATCAAGGAAAAGGCAGAGCGGTGCTGCACCTCCACCTGCCTCCACCAGCCTGGCTCCGTCTTGGCTCCGTCCTGCTCTGACATTGGCAAGGGGTGTGGCCAGCCCCAGCCTGCCTCAGCTTCCCTGGCTTCCTTCTCAAATGGGAATGATATTTACGGCAGGGGGCTCCCAGTGGGGTCCGGGGATTAGGTGGAAATGCCCACTAAAGCTCCTGGCCCCGGGGAGAATATTTAAAATGGAAGAGGAAGACTTGTAAGCGGAGAAAGGTGTGGAAAGAATGGTCCTGGCGAGGTGTTGTCCGTCTTTCCATCCCAAATGCGCTCGCTGTCTGTGCAGAAGAGGGGGTTCTTGCTTAGCCGCGCACAGGGAGACTCAGGCAGGAAAGACCAACTGCCGAGAATGTTTGGTCAAGAAGGGCCACCCATCAAAGAGTCACACGCAAACATTTCTGTTCTGAGTGAGAGGTGGAGCTAGCTGGTTTCTAATACTGTTTTCCATGCCATGATTCTAGCACAGGGTAGAAGGTCCCACGTTCATGCCTGCTTGGTTTATCTCTCGTTCAAGTGCCCAGAAGGGTGCCGGGCACAGGACGGGCATTGGGTAAACACGCGCTGACTGAATGGATGGGAAGTCCGCACACCTGTCGAGTTCTTAGCCCCCGTGAGATGCTGCAGGTGCTTCGGCGTGGCTGTGCAGCTCGCTGGTGCTCACGAAGGGTCTGTGTCCAGTGCTCTATGCTCACCATTACAGGAACAATGTCACAGGAATTGAGTGGAAGGGACAGCACAGAACCCACGGTTGGAGGGGAGAGAGCAGACCAGGCCACCACAACCCAGGGAAGAGGGCGAGTGAGGGCCAAGGAGCGGGCAGTGGCCCCGTCCCCTGCTGGGTCCGATGAAGTAGGGAAGGCATCGCAGGGCTGCCATCCAGGAACGGCTGCTGAAATAGACCGATGCAGGGACCAAGCGGCCGGGTGGAAACCACACAGGAAGGCGAGTTTGGTCTCGGGGCTACTGACCGACTGCAGCCCAGTGGCACTGAGACGGTGGCCTCGTTCCACGGACATTCCACTCACGACATGCGAGGCTGGCCGCATGGCTGTCGGCTCCTTAGGGTTTCCTATCTGAGAAGGGAGCTCTCAGAAGCCCCTGGGTTTGGAGACAGCCTGCCTTTTGCTATCAACGAACCAACAAGGATAACGCGAAGAGCTCTGTTAGCTGCACAGCCTGCGCCCTGCTTTGCTGAGGGAAGCTATGGTCTCTCCAGGAGGAAACTGGAAGAGAGGGAGCGCAGGTGTCCTGGTGAGAACGGTTGGGCGGGCGGGCGAGGCAGCAACCTCCGGGGGGCACCCTTGTTGGATCAGAATCAGCATCTGTAGGGATGGACAGAGACACTGTTGCCAGTTCTTTCCGGCTCAGCCTGGATGGAGGAGCCCTGTCCAGATGCCGCCTCGCCCCCATCCACGTTTCTCACGCAGTACCCCCACTTCGCCCTTCTTGTCCCCTTTTCAGAGCCGGACACCTCGGATTGCAGGGGCCGTCTGGAAAGAACCCTGGGTAACGTGCCTTTGGCTCCCCCAGAGTTCTCCCTGCCCTGCCGGCCTTTGTGCCTTTCCCACTGGAGAGAGTGTTCTCATCTGAAAGAACAGGTGTGGAAAGGGGAGGGAGGAGTGCTTACAGTGTGTGTGTGTGTGGGGGGGACACAGACCAGGCGCCGCTTCCTCCAGGCAGCCCGGAAGAGACCAGGTCCTCTGGTTTGCTGCCCTGTGCTGCCACCTAGTGTCCCCAGGCCCTAGGGACAGGCGTTCAGGGCAGCCTTGAAGAAGCGGCTAGGGACACCCGCATCTCTTGCGGGAGTGCCTGGATTTGAGTCCCGGCTCTGCATCCTCTCCCAACTCTGGCTTCTACTAAAGCCCACCCTGGGAGGCAGCAAGTGACGGCTCAAACACTTGGGCCTCTGCCATTGACGTGGGAGGCCTGGATTGAGTTTCGGACCCTTGGCCTTGGCTTGGCCCAGCCCTCGCTGATGCGGGCATTTGAGGAGTGAGCCAGTGGATGGGAAACCTCTCTCTGTCCCTGTCTCTCCATCTTGCAGATAAAGGAATTTTTAAAAAATTTATTCATTGATTCATTGGTTGTTCAGGACTATTTTTTTTAAAGATTTTATTTAATTATTTGTGAGAGTTACAGACAGTGAGAGGGAGAGATAGAGAGAAGGGTCTTCCATCTGTTGGTTCATTCCTTAGGTGGCTGCAACGGCTGGAGCTGTGCCGATCCGAAGCCAGGAGCCAGGCGCTTCTTCCCAGTCTCCCATGTGGGTGCAGGGGCCCAAGGACTTGGACTATCTTCTACTGCTTTCCCAGGGCACAGCAGAGAGCTCGATTGGAAGAGGAGCAACCAGGACTAGAACCGGCGCCCATATGGGATGCCGGCACTGCAGGTGAAGGATTAACCTACTGCGCCATGGCACTGGCCCCTGCAGATAAAGGAATTTAATAAACACTGTGCCCTCAGATTCATGCATTCCTTCATTCTTTAATTCCTGGATTAGTCGATGGTTCAGTGAAAACGCACGAAGCCCCGCTCTGGCCCGTTTGGGGTGGGCGCCGCCTCTTCACTGTGCTCCCTTGCAGGCATCCTCCTGTCGCGGTGCTCTGGCCACTTCCCTCACTGCCCTTTTCACTCCGCAGAAAGAGGCTCCAGCCTGTCCATTTCCAATGTTCCAGGTAAATTTAATTCCAAGCTTTTTGCTTCGGTTCCCGCTCATTGCCTTCCATCGCAGGGGTGAAGGGGGCGGGAGGCGGGTGTTCAGCCCAGCCCTTGAGATGCCTGCATCCCAGCGGAGCTCAGTGTTCCACTCTGACCCGTTTCCTGCTAATGCAAACCCTGGGAGGCAGCAGTGATGGCTCCTCACTGGATCCCTACCACCCAGGTGGGAGGCCTGGATTCAGTTCCAGGCTCCTGGCTTCTGCTGTTGTGAACATTTGGGGAATGAACCAATGGGTGAGAGTTTGGTGTATCTGTCTCTCAGTCTGTCTGCCTCTACAATAGATAAATATACTTTAGGGGCCGGCACTGTGGTGTAACGGGTAAAGCCACCACCTGCTGTGCCGGCATTCCCATATGGGCACCTGTTCGAGTCCTGGCTGCTCCACTTCCGATCCAGCTCTCTGCTATAGGCTGAAAAAGCAGTGGAAGAGGGCCCAACTGCTTGTCCCACCCCTTGTACCTGCATGGAAGACCTGGAGGAAGTTCCTGGCTCCTGGCTTTGGATCAGCACAGCTCCTGCCGTTGTGGCCATCTGGGGAGTGAGCCAGTGGATGGAAGACCTCTCTCTCTCTACTTCTGCCTTTCAAATAAATAAATAAATAAATAAATCTTTTTAAAAATAAAAGCAATTTAAAAAAAGAAGTGAAGAGTAGGTGCTCTGGAGCCGTTCCCAAGAGCGAGCGTCAGCCTGATGGGTGGTTGGGAGTGTGGAGTCCACGGAGGAGACAGAGGCGAGAGAAAGGACACACGTGACACGAGACAAAGGCGTGACCCACTGGCACCTTAGAGTTGACAGAGGCCTGATATACATTGAGGCATTCAGTTTTCTTTTAAAGATTTATTTATTTATTTGAAAGTCAGAGTTACAGAGAGGCAGAAGCAGAGAGAGAGAGAGAGAGAGTGCTTCCATCTGCAGGTTCACTCCCCAAGTGGCCACAATGGCTGGAGCTGCACCGATCTAAAGCCAGGAGCCAGGAGTTTCTTCTGGGTCCCCCACGTGGGTGCAGGGGCCCAAGGACCTGGGTCATCTTCTACTGCTTTCCCAGGCCATAGCAGAGAGCTGGATTGGAAGTGGAGCAGCCGGGACTAGAACCAGCACTCATATGGGATGCCGGTTCTGCAGGCCAGGGCTTTAACCTGTAAGATACAAGGGCTGACCACAGTATATGC